ATATACACACATATATATACATACATACATATAAGGGAGTTGTGGTGCAGAGGTTAGAGAAGGTGGGCCTGTGATTGAAAGATCGCTAGTTCAACTTTCGGTACTGAAAACATCAAAATGTGGATGTGATAGATGAAGCACCCACACCTGTCTCCACCCTCATTTGCCCCCACTCTCGGCCCTTGAATAAGGCCCTTAACCCCCACCCCCCATCTGCTCCCCCGGACACCCTAGATAGCAGCTCTGCTCCACACAGAGGCTGTGGTAGCTCGGTGGTCTGTGGTTGTATCAGGAAGGTCATCCGGCGTAAAAAATAATTGCCAAGTCTTCGTGTGACTCAGTTCGCTGTTGTGATCCCTGAAGAAGGGAGCAGCTGAAAGAAGAAAAAAAATGTTTTTTTCAAAGCTCTACTTGAGTACGATGCCAGTTTTTGTTTTGTTTTTTTGCTTTTTCTGACCTGAATCCACTACCAGCTGCTGGAGTTCAGTGCATCTGCTGCTGATGCCGATTACTGTCAGGCCAACAGGAGTCAGCTGTTCTGAGCCGTGGAGCGCCCCATTCGTCAGCGTAGAGCTGCTTTTTCATACTAAATGTTTACTTGAGCATCATGCAAGAGGTTTTGCTCTTTACAGCCAAACTGAAACACTTTTGTCAAATGAAATGAGACATGAGAGTCTGCAGTAACGTCCTGCCAGGACAAAAGGACCTCTTCTGAGTTGAAGTCTGTCCCAGTAAATTTTTACAGAGGCTTTCAAATGCAAAAGCAGAGCTAATATCAGTGAGTTAGTATAAACATTAAAAGTATAGAGATGGAGGTAAAAAGAAAAAAGAAAAGGTATCAGAAAAGACATTATATTGGATTTTCCCTATGGTTGATTCTTCTCACTAAGGAACACCAGAGGGTAGTAATGTTACTGTGAGGTTACCAGAGCATGTGTCAAAAATAAATAAATAAATAAATAAACATGTGGTTGATTTTAAGAGTTTGCTTGAGAGTGTTTTCTTTTTAAACTGTAAAGCAGGAAAGCAGGCTGGGGGAGGTGTGGGGCACATGCTACATGAATTCATTGTTCAAATAGCCTTTGCTTTTGCAAAATGTGACAGAATTTCTTAAGACATTTCCAAAATTCCACAGCATACAAATTATTTCCTGTAAATAACTGGAAAGGGTCTCTGTCTATTTGGAACAATAGACCTTATTTGTTAAACAATCACTTCAGCAATAAAAAGGAGTTTGTACTGTAGGCTTACACCAAAGTTCATGCTCAATAATCCAGGTAAAAATCCAACAATGTTCAGTCAGGTCATCTGGAGGGTTTCTTTTCATCCATCCATCCATCCATTATCTTTACCCGTTTATTCCATTTTGGGTCACGGGGGTCGCTGGTGCCCATGTCCAGCAATCACTGTGCGAGGGGCGGGGTACACCCTGGACGGGTCACAAGTCCATCACAGGGACACATAGAGACAAACGAGACAAACAACCATTCACTCTCTCACTCACACCTAGGGACAGTTTAGAGTTACCAATCAGCCTAACATGCATGTTTTTGGTCTGTGGGAGGAAACCGGAGCACCCGGAGAAAACCCACGCATGCACAGAGAGAACATGCAAACTCCACCCAGAAAGGCCCCTGGACCAGGGTTTGAACCAAGGACCTTCTCGCTGAGAGGCAGCAGCTCTACCAGTTGCGCCACCGTGCTGCCCGGGTTTCTTTTCTTTTTCTTTTTTTTTTTTTTGTTGAGCTGTTTTGTCCTTCATCCACTGTAGGCTTACTTTTTATCATTTCAAACCTAATGACATACATAGGTTACCATTTTGTTTACACTGCAATGCATTCTGGGAAAAAATATGTCAGAGAGATTTATTTGTCGTTCGCATCTCATGTACATGTGGTGGAACGAGATTATGTACACAGGGTCCCAGATGCATCCAACAATAAAATGTAAAAGAAAAACAGTAATAAAATCCAAGATTTGAACTAAGAAAAACATCAGCTAAATAATACACTAAGCACTAATAGCATAAAAACATTACGTCGAACAGAAGCACAAACACGAGTCTGTGTGAGCAGATGAGCATGAATTAACACAGCAACATGAAACAGATCAGCAGCAACATGAAACAGATCAGCAGCAACATGAAACAGATCAGCAGCAACATGATGTGATTTTTTCACAGTGATTATTCCTGGTTAGATATTCATGAGTCTAACAGCCTCAGGGTAGAAGCTGTTCCTCAGTCTAGTGGTTCTACACTTAATGCTCCTTAACCTCCTTCCTGAGGGGAACGGTGCAAAAAGTGTGTGTGCTGGGTGAGTGGGGTCCTTCATGATGCAGGTGGCCCTCTTCCTGTATCTAGAGGTGTAGATGTCTGTGATGGTGGGGAGGCTGACTCCAACAGTCTTCTGTGCAGCCTTCACCACTCTCTGCAAAGCTTTTCTTTCTGCAGCTGTGCAGCCTCAATGCCACACGTTGATGCTGGAGCACAGGATGCTCTCCACTGCACACCTGTAGAAGGAGGTGAGGACTGGGCTTCCCAGACCAGCTCGCCTCAGTCGTCTGAGGAAGTAGAGTCTCTGATGAGCTTTCTTGATCAGGCTGGTGGTGTTGTTGCCCCAGCTGAGGTTGTCATTCAGGTGTACACCCAAGTACTTGTAGCTGGAGATCACTTCCATACCATAACATTTTATTTATAAAGCACTTTAAACAGCGACAGGGCCAACCAAAATACTGTACAAACAGAAACAAACAGGCAAAGCACACAGCAACATATAACATAACGTAAAATCAAAATTAAGAAACAAAATAATAGCAGATAATATCATAATGACTAACACAGTGTGATGCATACAGGTTCAACACAGATCATACAGTGTTGAAAGCCAGGGAATAGTAGTGGGTTTTTAAGTGGGATTTAAAAACTGTGAGGGAGGGGGCCTGCTTGACAGGTAGAGGTAACTCATTCCATAGTCTTGGGCCTGTGACAGAGAAGACCCTGTCACCTCTGCACTTAAGATGGGTTCCTGGAACTGTGAGAAGCAACTGGTCTACTGACCTCAGAGAACACGGTGGGACATATGGCTGCAGCAGATCAGTGAGATAGGAGGGGTCAGAGGTGTTCAGTGATTTATTTCCACTGCAGATCCTCTTATGTTCGGGGGGTGGGGGGGTGTAGGTGAGTTTGTTCTTTCTGAAGTCTACAATCATCTCTTTTGTCTTCTTCACATTGATGTGAAGGTTATTCTCTTTGCACCAGCTCTCCAGGTGTTCCACCTCCTGCCTGTAGCTGGACTCATCATTGTTTGTGATGCATCCCACCACCGCTGTATCATCTGCAAACTTTACAATGTGACACAGTGGATGGGTGGGTGCATAATCATATGTGAGCAGAGTGAACAGGAGAGGGCTCAGCACACATCCCTGAGGAGAGCCAGTGCTGAGGGTTATGGTGGAGGAAGAGAAGTTGTGGATCCTCACTGACTGTGTTTTGTTTGTTAAGAAGTCTAGGACACAGTTGCACATGGAGGGGCTTAGTCCTAGTGTGAGTAGTTTGTCCATCAGGGTTTGGGGGATCATGGTGTTGAAGGCAGACATGAAGTCCACAAAGAGCATACGGACGTAAGAGTCCGTCTGCTCCAGGTGGATGAGAGCAGTGTGGACCACAGAGGAGATGGCATCCTCTGTTGATCGGATCTTGCAGTACTCAGGTCCATGTTGATGTTGATGGTTGTTTTGATGTGG